ATCATCCCCCTTTCCTTAAAAACTTGAAAAGCAAACTAGAAAAAGAAAAGGGTAAAAGTCACTTTTGGTCCCTGTAGTTTGGTACTTCAACTACTTTTGACCTTATAATTTCAATTCCGTCAATTTTGCCATTGTAGCTTCGTATTTGTAGCAATTCAAGGACATGTTAGTATTCTTGTCAATTTCTTTAACGATGCAAGGGGTAATTTCGTCAACCCAAAACTCTTAAGCGTAAAAGCTTGTTTGAAATTCTCCCCATTTCATATTAGGGCTCGAAATTCAACCGCTAATCCCAATTATTGAAGAACCATCCCCAATTAAACAAAACAAAGTGCAGTTTTGTCCCTTTGATTTATGTTTGTTTTTGCTTTATGAAAAATGTAAAATACCCATCTCAGTAATACCAAATTCTAATAATGTTCGGAACTACAACTTTCTTGGCAGCCAAATAGATCCTTAGCTTTATTTTGGATAGAATAGCTATGTAAGTTTTGAATTTTCTTTTTATTTGGGAAATGGGTTGAATTTCCTCCATCTGTTTTGCAGTTTCAGCGGCTATACTATTTTTAGAAAAACATATATATATTAAACCTAATTGTTTAGAAATATTAATAAAACCGAGTATAGCTCGTCGGCTGTACTATTTTTTTTAATAAAATAAAAAAAAACCGGTTGGCAGACATTAAATAGTTCCCATGTTTGTTTCGATAGTGACTTATTATTACTACTATGTTATTTGTTCCAAAAGCAGTCATAAATGTGTTTTTTTAGTCAAAATAGGTGACCTATTATTAAACAAAAAAACAATCACACGCCAAGAGACAAAGAGATTGTGGGCTAATATTTTTTGGAGTAGGATTAGCTTATAAAATTTGTACTAAGTTTAGTATTTTAAAAATTTTACACCGTACTAGAGCCCAGCCTAGCCTGTACATGGATCCGTTCTTATTCAGGGGGCAAAGTGAGACTCAAATACATTTTCAGGGGGTATAAAAAAAATATATATTAATACATAAAGAGAAAATGGAATGGGAAAGTCAATAAAAAAATTAATTACAATATATCTATATCTATATATATAAAGCAAAAGGCAGAGAATGGTGAAATATTCAAAATACCAGAAAATGCCATTGGTTAATGCAAACATTAAGAATTAAAATTATTAATTAAATGAGGATAATATGGTAAATTCACACTTTTTCATATTTCAAAAAAATTAAAATTAAAAAAAAATCAGATAATGGATCCTATTTTTATGGAACACAACTACCCATTATCTTTTTTAATTCTAAAATAAATTTAAACCCTCTCGCAGGCACGGAAGTGTGTGCAGAGAGGCTAGTATATATAAAGCAAAAGGCAGAAAATGGTGAAACATTCAAAATACCAGAAAATGCCCATGATTAATGCAAACATTAAGAATTGAAATTATTAATTAAATGAGGATAATATGGTAAATTCACACTTTTTCATATTTCAAAAAAATTAAAATTAAAAAAAATCGGATAATGGATCCTATTTTTATGGAACACAACTACCAATTATCTTTTTTAATTCTAAAATAAAATAAATTTTTTTTTTTAAAAAAAAGCCTCTTGCAGGCGCGGAAGCGCGTGGAGAGAGGCTAGTCATTATATTAAAAATATATATAAAAAATTATTTTGTTTAATTTTAGCCATCCATTGTACTCTAATCTAATGGTTGAAAAATTGTGTCAAATAAAAGAAGGATAATTATCCGGTAAAAGAATATTTCTGTTAAAAAAATCGATACGATGACGTTAGTAGTTTCCACATCATCAAACTGCTCGGCAATCCTTGACATTTGAATAAGGCCTTGTTTCTTTATTGCCGATTCAAAGACATTTGAATATTTTAAGAGTATAGCCGAGCGGCTATACTCTATTAGATATATTCCGGACGAACGAAGCTTGCACTTGCAGGGTACGGAAGTTGCACTCGCAGTCAAGCCAATTCGCTTCTCTATCAACTCAAGCTTCGATTTTTTTCTTTGGTTTCGCCTGCTACGTCTTCTGGGTTCGGCAACGTAAAATGACCCAACCCGCCTAGGCGGCCGCTTAGCTACCGCCTAGCAGCCTAGCGCCCACCTAGCTACCGCCTAGCTGCCTCGCGCCCGCCTAGCGACCGCCTAGCCCCCTCGCTCCTTCCTAGAGACAGCCTAGCCGCCTCGAGCCCGCCAAGAGACCGCCTAGCCACCTAGCCGCCCTCGTAGGCCCATTTTTCGAACACTGCGATTGACTGAAAATCTGAAACAACAATGGCCTCTTTCAGCGTCCTTTGGCTTCTTTTGCAGTCTATGCTTTCTCAGCTGCTTCTGGAGTTTGAATCGTGGTTGCAGATATTGACGACGCAGAGGTAGGCAAATAATTATATATATATATTGCTCTTGCTTTTCTTGAGTTTGAATCGTGGTTGCCCATTTTTCTCAAGTTGATGGATGCTCATATTCCTCAATGATGATCTGAATTTAATCTACATAACAATGCTCTTGGAATATCCTTTCATGGTTATTGTGAAAAGTTTTGTTCTTGGTTCATGACAATCAACCACATTTTCTATGTTTGAAAATAAAGGGTAAAAATTAATGAAAGACAACAGCAGTGATCCTGAAACTGAAAGCTACCCCCTGCCCATGATCCATCAGCATTCTTCAAGATCGCTTCCATCATAGCCACTTGGTATATAGTGCTTGGTCTAGACTTATCTGTAAACTGCTGTCTTTTGATTTGGATTTGTATATGATTGTTGCTTCAATTTTTATTTTTGGAATTTTGACATGGAAGGCATGATGCTTGTGGTTTGTAGGTTGTTGGGTACCTTAACAGCAGGCAGGCGGCGCTGTTCCAAATAATGATTTGGGAAGGAATGAACAAGGACTATGATAAGGTAATGCCTTTGGAAATCCATAAATTTTATCATATATGTGTTCACAAGGATTCGGTGCAATGCTAGGGGCTTTCTTAGTTTCTGTTTGTTCCATGGTTTCTTTTTATTTGTTGTTTATATTTTTGGCTTTTGAGTCTTTAGATTGAAAATCATTGAGGTTATGTAGTTAATCATGATTATCGATCAGCCCCTGCATTATTTGCCTCTTCATTCTCCTTAGCTCTTTGATTGTGCAGGAATTCTTCACTTCTAAAACTGACCTCGTTTCTGGTATTTGAGTTTATGTTTGCTGCATGTCATATGTGCATTGTGATCTGAAGCATAGGCTCGGAAGTCTCATCCAGCTTAGAGTTCTTGCCTAGTTCTGAGCTGTTATTTGAGTCACACACTGCATAACTATGTTGAAAGTTTTCACTTCAATCTTATTTGCATTTGACTTATTTTTTGATCTTTCGACTATTTGTGTATGTTTTACTGCCAGCATTGAGTCTTATGTATTGATCTCTATATGCAACTATAAAATTGGCAGGGAAAGAGTAGAAAACGAGCCAGAATGGCCTAGAAAGCTGCTCCTGCTAAAAAGCCAGAAAAGGCTGTCAAAGTTTCTACTGTGATGGATTCTTAGAATGTAAGTTAATAATAAACTGGTTTATGGGATTTTTGGTGCTTAAATTTTCCTGCAATGTTGATTGTCCTACGTATAATTTATTTAACAATACTAATGTGACATTTTGTTCTTGCAGAGGCTGAGTTCAAAAATCAACTATGAAGCTTTGGATAAATTAAATGAAGAGCTTGTAAGCATCTTTTATATGTCTTGTTTTAGAATCAATTTTGCTTTATTCATGCTTTGCAAATCCCATATTATGTTCTGTCAACATCCAAGGTCTTGTTCACTGATGCACAGACTACAAGCGACTAAAAGCCAATAAAATCTAATGGGACGTTTAATTTCAATTTTCAAATGATGTTACTTGTTCAATATTTTTTTTTTGTTTTCTTAATGTCTAGTTAGTGTGCAGACACCAAATTCCTGTTTAATGGAATAAAGGTATATCGAAGTCACACAAACGACTCCAAGATAGAACTTAATACATAAAAGAATAATCTTTGGAAGATGGTGTATTATTATTGAGCATGGATTAAGACATGAAACTGTGATATCTGAAAATCAGTCTGGTGGTTTACTAGAATGATCAGTTAACTAATTGGGCAGTTAATGGGGCAGTTATATGGTTCAAAGTTTTTTTTGTCATTTTATAATGATTTTGCAATGTAGTTCCTAGTTAAAACTCCTGGTAGGTTTTAGAAAATGGAGGTATCTCTCTGCGAGTAATTGCCTGAACTTTAATAGATACCGAATTTGATTCATCTGATCTTTTTCTTCATGTGTAAAATTAGGGTTATGCACCTTCATTTGAGGAAGGCACAAAGTCTAATTGTGGCAGTCTTTGTGTTATGCAACTGTTAAATGAGAAGAACAGTCGTGATGATGAGTTTGAGCATAAAGTAATGGTTATGGTGAAGAGGCTGAAGCCAGACAGGCCAAGATGACGATTCATATGTTGCAAATGACAAATATAATGGATACAATTACGATGATGAATGCAATTATGATGTGGAATGCGATTTTGAAGAATTGACTTAAATAATCAACTTTTTTTTTCTTTCTTGATTTATATTATTTTTTCATGAACCAGCTGTATCAGGTTAAGCAACCGAATCTTCTGGTTTTTAACAACTTTTTCGAATTGGAATCGGTCTGAGGAGAGATGCTATTGAGCATTGTTTGCATGTAAAACTCTTTGAACTATAACCATGAACAAAATTTGTAAATTGGAACACTGAATTGTTGGTTCGAAGTTGTTTACAGTTTATTGAGTGTAGGGAGAAGCACCAGTTTGACAACAATGTTTCCCCTGTTTTCTTCTTCCTAAATTCAACACTGACAACACCAATAAGCTTGAGGAAAATTTCAATTGATCATTGATTTGCATCTCAAACTGTGAATTTATATAATTCAATGTTGAAAAATCTTTACATAGAACACAAACTGAATTGTGTCTTGGGTCTTGGTTTCACCTTCCAAGCTGTTCAGAGTTTGCCAGCGAGAGCAAGATACTCGGTATGACGGCCCTGAGCTATAATTTTGCCTGTCTTCTTCTTCCTTAACTCAACACTGACAACACCAACAGCCTTCCCAACTCGTAAAGCCTTGGCCTCAACCTCAACTTCCTCACCAGGGTAAGCAGAATCCAAGTATGAAACGTTGATCTCCACTGAAACTCCAGTGGGAGTTCCGACGGTGAGGATTGCAGCTGACCCTATCCTTCTCTGACTCAGTGTTGCCTTAGAAATGATTAACAAATAGCTAAGAGAGAGATCAGAACCTCAGGGCAGTGAGCTATGTCCTTCTCTGACTCAGTGTTGCCTTAGAAATGCGAGAAGATAATAAAAGATGGGTTTCTTTCAATTTTGTTGGGTAAAAAGAAGATTTCTTTCAACAGAATATTTTTGGTACTTATAATTTTGACTAAATTTCGTTTTAATCCTTGTAGTTTCCATATAGCAAAAGCAATCCTATTCCTATGGTTTATATGGCAATTGAATCCATCTCTTTTTTTATTTTATTTTATCTTATTTTATTTTATTTTTTATAAACTTGAAAATCAATCATTACATTATGGACTATGATGGTTTAAACAAATAATATTCTAAATTATTCTAATGTACAATGAGAGGAATCAAGTTTAAAGAGATAAGCACACTACATTAGTTTATAGGCCTAACTCAGGTGCACACCAACACGGAATTATTGAATCAACATCATAGAGAAAAAAAACCTCATCACAAGAAAAATGTGAATTTCCAAGTCTTTGAGGTTACTTGACATTGTTTTGGTGATTTCAATTCCACTACCAAACTCCTTGAACAAAGGAGCGTGTTAAAGAAAATACTTAGTAAACACTTTTACCAGAGGAATATTTGGTTCTGATTTCCCTAAACTCTAAACTCTTTCACATTCGAATTCATTCTCAATTCGATTTCTTCACAAAATTGCAAATTGTAACAAAGTGGAGATTGATATAGAACAACTATGCCAATTAGGGGTGGGCACGGTCCGGATTGGATCGGTTTTAGGTCAAAACCACGGCCGAACCAATTAAAATATGACGGTTTGGTTTGGTTCGGTTTGGATAAAAGTTATAAGGGAAACCGAACCAATCCAAACCAATTTAAGACGGTTTGGTTCGGTTTGGTTCGGCCGGTTTGGGCCTAAGCCCAATTCTCTTTCTTTTTGCATTTTTTCAACATTATTAGCCCAATTATAACCAACAAATTCACAACTTACTTCTTACATAAATCATCTTCTAGAGTACGAAACCGTTCTAAAGCTCAAAAGGTCATAAAACTTCATATTTCACTAACTAATATAGCTCAATTCAAATATTCATATATAGTTATTAACTAATTAGAGTATTACACATATAAAATAAAATAAAATAAATAAATATACACATAAACGGTCCGGTTTGGTTTAAGCCGGTTTACAAAAGCTCAAAACCAAACCAAACCAAACCATAGTGGTCTAGTGGTCTAGTGGCCCAGTGGTTAGGTTCAATTCCTTTAATAATAATAATAATATATATTTTTTGTTTAAGATAAAAAAAAAAAGGAAAAAGCTGTGAGGCTAGTTGTTGAATAAACAAATATTGATGGTTTGAAGAATTTGACAGATTGACATGGACTCTATCCTCTCTGTCTCTCTCTGTCTCTGTCTATCTCGTACCATTAAGTGAGTGGGAGAATCATCTCTTTCACTCTCAAATTGTTAGGAGAGAGAGAGAGAGAGATAGAGAGAAGCGAGAGATGATGAGTTTCAGAATCAGTGGGGGAAGCTAGCCGCCATCTCCTCATACCAATTTGCTGCTTCTTGCTTCAGCTGCTGTCTCCCTGCTTCAATATCTCATCACCTCAGAAATCTACTGCAAACCCCTTCTAAGGTACCTACCTCTCTCTCTCTCTCTCTCTCTCTCTCTCTCTCTCTCTCTCTTGAAGTTTGCTTGAATGATAAACTGCTAGTTTTCTTCTTTGAAAATGTTAATGAATTAATGTTGTTTTTAATCCTTTTTATTGTAATTCAAAGATGCATTCAAATGCAATGTTACAAATTATTTCTTTTTATTATGTCTTAAATTATTTCTTTACAAATTATTCCTTTTTATTATGTCTTAAATTACCTGGAAACCATAAGCCTCAACTTGATCACATTGCATGTGCAATCCACGTGTCCTATATACAAAATGTCACTTGCCATTATGTACCCAACTTGTGTTTATCTTGATATGATTTTTTGTCCATGAAAATAATGACGTCAACTTATTTATATCCATTCCAATATGACGTCAGTATAGCTCAGTGCAGTTTGCACATCATCAAAATGCTCAGCCATTCATCACCTTTGACTGATTCAACTTGCACATAGGCCTTCATCAACCAGAGTGGTTGTTAGCCACAATTTTTGAAAATTCCACAATAGTTTTTAGGTTCAATTCTCCCTTCTCTTAACATCGCTTGTTTAAAAAATGAAAAAAGTTCTTAGAATATTATAAGAAGTTTAGTTAAATTTCTATAGCTTTATTGTTAGTCCACTCCATCCCTTTGATATTGCGAACAAGAAAAAGTATTTAAATTGGAAAAGCCATGGGATGAGTATCTAGAATTGTAGATAAATATTTCAAACTCTAAATTAAACTGCTCAATATAATAATAACAATATTCAATGTGGATGTCACTTGTCAAAGCATTTGGCCATCTGATCATGCAACTTGGAAAGTAAAATAATAATAATATATGCAAAACCTCTGAAGTCAACGTAGTCTTAATGCTCAGGTTGTCAATGTGTGACTAAAATCTAACTGGAAATATTCCGCATAGTGAGCATAGATACATCAACATCCTTAACATCAATGTTAATGGGGTCTACCCCAAAAACATTTGTCAACCGTGGAACCATTGGCAATGCTTCTGATTGTTGAAAATGGATTGTTCTCTACTCTTTGTGTTAGAACAAGTACTTTAGGAACCATTGGCAATTCAAATTCTGTGCCATCGAGGAGCCAGCGCTCGTGTACAATAACATGATCAATATGAGGATGATGTTGAAGCAACCGTGGCCTCTTTCAGTGTCTGTTACCTTCTTTTGCAGCTTATGCTTCTGGTTTCAGGTGTCCATGGCACAAAATAGTACGACCGATCCATCTGAAGGTAAACTAGCCATGCTTTCCAAAGCATCTTTTAAATACAGAGCATATATATGTTGTTTTTTTCTTCCTTTTTGCGATTTCTGGACAGTCTAGTAACGTAAGTACGTTATGTGATGTGTACACAACGATTGAATTGAGAGTGCAGTGAGGGCGTTGAACTCAATATTCAAGCAATGGGACACGCAAGCCGTGCCGGGGCTGTGGAATATCAGTGGAGAGCCATGCAGTGGATCTGCCATTAATGGAACCGACTTTGAGGATCCAGCTAATAATCCAGCCATCATTTGTGATTGTACTTATGAAAATAATACTACCTGCCACATCACCCAACTGTATGTTACCCTCTCTCTCTCTCCATACTCTTTAGTCTTGTGTTGTTGACTGTAGCAACTCCATTAATTATGTGTTAGAAAACTAAGCAGATCATGCCTGATTTATCAATTGCAATATTAAGTGCCTAACTGCTCAATCTTTTTTCTTTCCAGGAGAGTTTATGCTCTGAACAAACAAGGGGTGTTTCCAGAAGAATTTGTGGCTTTAAGATATCTGACCATTTTGTATGAAGTTTTTCCAACCTCATTCTCTGTTGTTGGGTTTACCAAAATTAACATTTGCATATAAAAGAGAAAGACACATGTTTCTTAGTCTTACTGTTCAAAATTGGCACGAATATTTTTTATACTCAGAGATTAATCGTTGGTCATTGCACTTTGTTTTAATTCTTGTAGGAAAATTGATCAGAACTATTTCACCGGTCCCCTACCAGCATTCATCGGCAATATGTCCGCATTGACGTCATTGTAAGTAGTGAGAGAACATTTGTTTAAGTTGTAATACAAATTTTTATCTGTCTAATACTTTGATGAGACTCATTCCCATGTACAATTTCTATAATTGACTTAGAACCCGTTTGATAACCATTTTAGTTTTCGGTTTTTAGTTTTCAATTTTCAATTTTAAGTTTTCATTTTTCATTTTTCATTTTTCAAAAACTGAAAACTGAAAACTTGTTTGGTAATTAATTTCAATTTTCACAAAATGTGAAAAGTGAAAACTGAACACAAGATGTTTGGTAACTGAATTAAATTTTCAGTTTTCATTTTTATGTGAAACTTGGAAATGGAAGTTTTTGGGGTCAAATTGTGAATTTATGATCATAGAATGAAAGTGCATGTTACGAAGAGTTCGTTGTATTTTTTGGTGAATTTTTTTGGAATTATGATGAATTTTGGAGATGGAGTTCCGGAGGCTTGGATTGGGTACGTGGCCAAATGCAAGAATCAAGCAACCGGGTCCAAGTCAGGAGGTCCCAAATACCAAATTTTGATAACTGGAGTGCATTCCATGTGTCGTGATGTAAAAT